TCGAGTAGAATTTTTCATAGCATAAGACTTTAGGATTTAAGAACTCGAGGTTTTCACTATCGTGAAACGTGCGTCAGGAAAAACGCTTGATGTCGTATCTCGCTACTAATACGAATAAAATATTCCATTTTCTTCCATCTATAACAGGCAAGATATCTCGAAAGAGGAAAGATATCGATATGAAATATTATCGAATTAACTTATCGAGTTCCATGTACTATAATCTATGCAACATCCACAGATATTATTTTGATCGATAAGCTATCGCGTTACGCCAACCAGTAGTTCGATGATTATGGGAACGCGAAAGGTAGTCACGACAGTCTTGATCCAGTTTGTTTAAAACGAAAGGTGTTACGTGATAAATCCAATTCTCTTATATACATATGAGTGTGTGTGTGTGTATACATATATGTATATATGTAAGAGAATTGGATTTATATATATGAATCCAATATATATATACACACACACACACACACACACACACAAAATGTACGTTAATCGATCCAGCGGATATTACGTGTCCACTTTGAAGTGCAGTTTTAAAACGCCACCGTTGCAGCCGGCTCGCAAATTGAATTCCGAAGTCATTCTGTCGCATCGACCATCAGTGGGCATATTTTACAGGAGGATAATATAGAAATAACTTTCGCGGGAAACCGAAACCCTTGTTACACCTGATATATTCTTTGCGTTAAAATCGCGATGTTGCTTAAAATCGATGTAGGTATTATTACAATTACAAGCATAAGAAGATTAAACGCAATTTAATAATAGGTTAAACAAAATTGAATAATAGGTTCACAATCAACTATTATTGAGATATGTATTCCTATGAATTATAAAATTTAATTTAGCTTATAGCTCTAATAATACGTAAAAATCTCGCTTTGAAATTTTTCACCGTTTTTGAATTTTTTATTAATTTCAATTAACAATGAAGTAACGTTAATATAAAACTTGATCAATTGTTTTAGCAACTTTTCATCAAACTATTTTACCTATCATAATTCGCGATTTATGTTTGCAGTTAGAAAAAGTACATCAATATCAGTACGATGAAGAAATATGCAGCTGATTTATGATTTCACTCGCAGTTCGATGGCTTTAAACGACGGGTGTATAAGAAAAAATGAAATATTTATACGAGAGCGATGTATAATTGATAACGCAGCGAAACCTTTCCATTATATTACGATATTCTTCGGGAACGTTAAGTTCGATTCGTGGTATCACGGACCTTAATCCAGCTATATTCCGGGCCAATAGATAAAATCGCACGTTTCTTACGAGCGTAGGCTTGAATGGAGAATTTCATATCGATATTCGATTTTCTCATCCGGCATGGTACATCACCTCTTTCGCGATCACGCTTTGTAGGCCAAAGGAAAAAGAACGACAAAACGCGAAACCGTGATTCCGGTGCTCCCATTACGCGATAGGTCATGAACGGTTGCTCATTGTCAGCTGCAAAAGAGACTTACGTCGATCGACTGCCAAAATGGCTTTGTTCACGATAATTATTGTGTATCTATAATTTTTTCTCCGCGTGAAAATAAACGCGAGAAGAATTGTGACACGAGCGTCAAACATAAAATTGACATTTGGATATTACTACATTATTTAACGAGTTTTTATTTGTCCCGTGAGATCTGTATATAGGACATATCCAGTCGGGAGCTTTACGAGGGAATCTCGTATTATACGAGGATTGAGTTTAATATTTAACAGTTTCATCGAACGAACAATAATCTCGCGAGATTATTTATATTTGGGAGACGGGAATTAAATCGATTCGCTAAATTACTGAGAGGCCCTTTCTCCCGGGGATTTCACCGAGCATGAATGAATATTTAAACGGAGAAAAGGCAGCCAACATTAAGGACTTTCTTATTATTGAAAAGTTCGCGATAGAAAATAGCTTATTACTTTCAATGCACTCAGACTTTCCGATAAACTTCATTATTTCGATACTCTTACGAGTCTTCATCATTAAAAAAATATCTATAAAAATGATTTATATACTAAATACAACTTTAAAAACGTGCACATGCGTTTTGCACATCAATTTTGTCACTGTGTACATCTTTCTCCGTACAAACATATGTTTATATTTTATGTTCTTCAATCTTCGGCTTTTGCAGTAGAGAAAGAATAAAATGTCAAAAATATTGAATTATTAGCCAATACGAACTCATCCATGAAATAAAGGAGCTTATATAGCTCGCGATGTCTTTTAAACAAAACATAATCCAGGGATATTCAATATCTTCGATATCGATGGCCTTCTCTTGCGTTTTAACTTTCCTCGGAAAGCTATTCTCGACATCCGTCTCCTTGAGTCGCGTGAAGGAAGTTCGAAAAGTCGCCGAGATTCTTTTGCCAGTTTCGCTAACTGTCCTCGACTTTGAAATTCGACGAGATTATAGCGAGCAAAGGGATATCAAATATCCCGAGTCTTCTCTGTTTTCTATTCCCGCGAACAAACGAGACTGCAATTTCGTAATCACGAAGCTTATTGTCACCGACTTGCGTTATATATGCAACATTAAGACTATTTTTTATAATTTTTATATAATGAAGATATTGTTTAAGCTTCTCGCGAAAGCACCGGGAATACCATCTTTTTGATATCCCATTGGATTCAGATTAATCGATACAACTGGAAAGGCGATTCTTGTTTTTTAACGAGAAAACAGGTAAGTGAATTTACGTGCGTTAACCTAATGAGAGGGCAAAGTCAATTACGTCTAACGACGTAACAAACACTGTGGATTTTTATCGCGCGCCATTTCTCCGATCTCACTCAAATCGCCAACGGCCTACTTAGAACCCACCCAGGCAATTTATTTTCATTTCTCCTAACGATTCTCAACCTTGCCTGCGCCCCACTTTCTACACAGACGACGAATAATTCGAGACCCCACCGAGAACGCTGCGATTCACTTGGCGCGATCGATCGCGTTAACGTTAACGGCTCCCGAGGAATCTTGTAACGCGATTATGAACGAGCTGGAAAACGCGCGTAATGGCTTCCACCGTCTCGGACGATGCGACGTCGTCTGAAATGACCGGCGTGTCAATTCGACAAAGGGACCATGAGAATCAGGTTCTAACAGCGAAGATTTTTCATTTGCGAGCGAACGATATGTAGACAGCTGCCGCAGCGTGTTCAAAAATCTTCCCCCCCATTCCCGTCCGCTACTACAGCATATGTTCCGTAAAGTTTGGAAAAAACCAGGACGTTAAACTTTTTAATAAATATTTCATCGAGTTTTGTTTTAGCAACTTTGCACTCTGCTCCGCATATAAAGTTTCATGACCTAAAAATTAGAATTACGTAATACATTATACATTAGGTCTAGAAGCTTGTAAGACCAACAAAATTATGCACACTATACATTATATCTTGAGACACTTGTAAGATGGTACATAATTTTTTTTTTTTACTAATTTATAACGTATGTCATAATTATTTTAGTTTATAAAATCTAATATCCACTTTACAGTAAATCCTTCTGTGTCACAATACAGAAAATTAAACAATATGTCAAACCTAAATACGTTTTTATCAACAAAATTAGAAATAAGTTTTACATCAAACACTTCTTACAAGCGGACGTTATTTTAATTGTAATTTGAAGCTAAATCGTCGAGATATTCACTTAAAAAATCTGAAATTATGAAAGAAAATAACGTTTAGCGGAATCTCCGAACTAAAGTAAACGCAGTGTGTACTTTCTTTTAGTATTTTCCTTTTCTCTTTTCCTTGCCCTTTCTGCGGATTTGTCATGCCGCGATTGCAGCATAACAGCTCGTAATACGTCCACGGATGTAGGTATACGCACCGCTACATGATTAAGAGAGACTCGACTTCCACGAGATGTCGTGACAAGGAACGAAATACGAAGGAGACGAGAGGAGATAACAGAGATAGAGAGGACGGCTTGGTACCGTTTGCATACCGCTGCATAATATACGTAACTGCGTTACACGGCGTACAATGCGCGCATTATATGGAAAGGAATAACGATACGTCGTTTCGCTAGCTTTGCGCTGCTCTGATTTGGCCCTGACGTAATGATGTTCCGCGTCGCTTATTTGTTCCGCCGAAAACACCGCGTGACAGAGCGCGCACATTTTCGGCAGACGAACAAATACACTGTCGGATATATATTTTCTGTTAAAAAAAAATAATTTTTTTTTAATGCAATTAGTAATATACGCCGATTGAAAGTTTGGCTAAAACTTGGGCGAATATCTTGTATTTTTCTTCTCACCTATGATCAACTTGGCGACATCTTCGTTACGTAATCGAATTACCTGAATCCTATTAGTAGCTCATCGATGCGACAGCGACTCAAAGTCTGTATGCACACGATCGTAATTAACGATCGTATGTACGTGGAAACCATGTTGTTTGCCAGTGACAAATTCGGAGCGCACTTGATTGAACGTAACACAGCATACAGCCTATATTCGCGGTTATATAACGGTTGTCTTACGAGATATTAGCCATAACCCGGTCATCCCGCATCACGTAGAATAGGTACCAATAGAATTGGTAACGCCATGGCGAAAACAACAAAAATCATTGTACAACAACGCCCGATCGAGAAGCCGATATGCGCGGCGGGTCCCGCGAGGCAGGCGTATTCGTTCGTGCATGAAATCTGTTTGCCGGCTTTATCGCTCGCGTAGTTTCATGGCGCAGCCATTTGAAAAATGAAAAAGAGCCCGGCGGCGTACCGAATAACTCTTTATCCCACGACAATTCTTATTGCCTCGCGTGGTCGCGTTTTTTTTTTTATCGTGCAACACCCGACAATTTATCAGCACGTGACGATTTTCGGTGAAGCGAGAAGAACTCGTTATTTTATCTCTAAGCCCGTTTTAATCCTATTATTCTATTTGGAAGCTAGCGTTACACATGCTGATCTAATATTATATCCTAGGTTATATCCTAGGGTTCGTTAGAAGAAGTTCTAATTACTCACCCTCGGCGACTTGCGTTTATTGGTGCTCTCGACGCAGGGAAAGCCACCGCACTGAAACATAAAATGTACTGTGTAATATTTCGTTCGTATTTGTCTAATTGCGTCTAATAATAATACTAATAATAATACTAATAGAATATCTTAACAGCTATACATCAAATAGCTAAAATCGCCATTAACAAATTTGAAGCGTTAAGAAAAATCGTTCTGCAGTCAGAGATTTTGCGTTCGGTATTGACTGTAGCTGTATAAATATTTTTATGCACGAAGAGCTAGATATAGGTGACATAGATTGGCTTTATGGTAGAGTAAACGGTAGATGGCACAGTATAAACTGCATTCGAGGCGATACCATCTTCGTAGTCTTCACTGCAAACGCTGTGACTTTCGCAGGGGTGACTGATTCGCACAGTCATTTGGGTTTAGTGAACCCACGTACCCGAGCTCAACTGCGGACACTTATATATATCTACACATCATATACACACCCATATACACGTACTTTTGCGAGCGAGTGCAGCAAATAATTAAAAAAAAGTCGAAATGAAATTTGATCAAATCTAAGAAGGAGAGAAATAATAAAAATTAGAAAAAGAACAAGATAGTTTCTTTTTCAGAAAATTCATTGTTTTACTATCATGAAACGTAAACGTTGTGAATCACCAGAAAAATGTATTAACTTGCAGTTTTATGGAATCGTATTCGTCAGAAAAGAGAAAGAACTTAACGATCGATACCTAGAAACTCATAGCTACGGAAGTTACATCGTGACTATTAACTCGCATAATATATTACAAGTGTTGTACGTGCATTGCAATAGTTTATGCGCAGATGCATAATATTACCAGAGAAGATTTACAAATCAAAGGAATTCTGAACTGCAATACAGGACTCGTGGATAATTCTATTCCTGTTGATTTAAACCATAATTTAATATGACAAATAATGTAGACTTTTTAAATTTTCCTGTTCTGCGCAAATTATAATGATAATTGTATACAAAGTGTGTTTACGTAAGCAAATGAAAAGAAGTCTCCTACCTAACGGGATTTTTAGAAGATTGTTATTATTAATTATCGAGAGATAAGTGATAAACTGAGAAATATTATTGCTATTACGTGAGAAATATTCTACGAACTCTCTCTAGGAAGAATAATTCCGATCGTTTCATCCACCAAAATGCTACTGAATCATACTTCCGCGAAATCATGTTTACGCATCATTATAGTCTCAAAGAAAAGTACTCGAAATATCGTCTCTACAAAATGGTCCCAGAACTCGCTAGCGTGGCAATAATTCGATGCGTCTCTCTCATCCAACTCGTCTGTTTATTACAGCATACGGTTTGACGATGGTAGGAAACTGCGCGGTTTTTCCGTCCCCTCGTTACGCGGACGGCCGAAACAAGCCGTCATTTCGAAACGCGAGAGACTCGCGCAACCATACCCGCGATACCGCAAATGCGGTTTATTATTTTATCGCGACGGGCATAAAAGTGACGAGCGCTCATACGTGATTTCCGAGTTTTGCGTACGTGCGACAAACACGATGCGCGGACAAACCAAGCGAAGCGACGTGGAAATATCGCTGACTATATTTTGTTTATGTTGGATCTTAATTCTTAACCCTTTCAGTTTCAGTGTTTTACTGCGGACGCCATCATGTATGCGCGTCCAGGAGAAAGCGAGTATATATACACATTTGCAGTAAAACCAAGTATAGAATTTTGAGTGATTAATCGATTAAGGCTTCTTGTTGTTAGCTTATGACATCGTTATTTTCTGCTGTTCAATATGAAAGTAATAAACGGGAGTGGTATTTCGTAATTACAGTGCATTTCCATTCTACATGTCAATAACTTTAATAAAAAACTTTAATACCATAGCTTATAGTTAAATCGAAACCAAACGTTCATACATACTTAAATATACGTTAAAATAATGTTGAATATGACATTATATAAATATTTTTCGTAAAAGTTTTCAATTTAGTTCTTTAGTACTAAATTAATATGTTTTTATTTAAAAAACACGAATACATATGTTCCTGTTTAAAAGTATGTTTCAGTATGAGTAGAGTTCATTAATAAATATGCTTCCCTCCTCGCCTTAAATTTCAAAGCAGCTTCAAAAAATAGAACATGATTCTGTTTCTATACATGGCTCTTTTTACATATAAAACAATTGTGTTGAAAACAAACTTATGTAAATTTGTATGAAATTTACTTCGGTATGCATTGTTCTGGGGAAAATGTAATATTCCTGTCAAAAATATGACCTGAGAAACTCGGAACATGTCGGGATGGCGGACGAGTTACGAGGGAAGGACGTGAAGGAAGGACGCTCGGTTTTGTCGATGATTTGCCGAGCGGTCGCGACGCGGAAGAATGGAATTGCTTTCCGCTTCCGGCAAAATTCCCACCATATTCCCAGGACATGCTACTTCCGATTATATATATGTATATACATATATATCGCGTTACTAGTTCCGTCAGATAATTTAAAATCCCTGTATAAATGTCTTTCTGACAATTATAATGTAAAATAATTACGATAAATAAATCGAGGTGGCTAACATTAATCAGAAAATTAAATATCTCAGAAGAAAAATAAATTTTTATAAATGAAAAAGTAACCCACGGCTCCTTAATTTACACAAAATAACTATCACGTTCATTATATTTGTTTACATTTAGATTTGCATTGTATGATAAATCTTTAATATACAGAGAGCACGCATAAAAATTTCGGAGAACGACAATCCGATCCTCTACCGACAGATTCATGACCGATAGAAGGGAGAACAGCATTTTATCCGTTCGTGATCCACCTCTCGCGATGATTAACTCGTCCCCGGAGTTTTATCCTCGAAAGATGGAAAAAAGTTTCACAATGAAGACTTGAACTCCCTCTTCCCGTCTAGGACCGAAGCGTGGTTTTATCTTCGATCACGTTTCGCGGCGCGATGTGGTCTCGTTTGCGCAAAGTCGAGCAGGATAATCGATACGTCTTCGTCCGTTCTCGCCACCTAAAGCCGTCGGGATGCTATTTCTTGTCGCTCTCTTTGCCCTTCGTTACGCGATCTTTTATTATTATGCGCGTCCAAGGCTAAGAAATGATTCGCGCAACACCATTTTCCCCTCAGCAAACGATCGAGTAACAAATATAAGCATGATAAAGAAGTGTAAAAAATTCATTTAAACGGCTCGATTTTGTTTCGTAGACGCGCGAAATATTTTCCTTAATTGTAAAACAAATATCGATTTACCAATTTTAGAATAAAAATTAAAATTATTTAATCATAAACGTTGTTTCGATATATAAATAAAGTGTATATAGAAGCATGATTTTTTACTCTATATAAAATATAAATAAAAGCACAAACATAAATAACAACCTAGAAATAAAATCTAAATACAAGCATTCATGCTATTTTAGAATTTTCGTGAAAACAAAGCCAGAATAATACAAATATTCGACATTATGACACTTTGAAAAATATGCACTTAATATAAAATATTCGCGTGATATTAATAACCGATTGTAAATATCGGATTGTATAGGCGAGATTACGGCGTACGTTCGAATCGATTTCCGATCAACGCTCCGCCAGTACGTCCAATCGCTGACATTTTCCCTCAGCGAAAACGTCTAACAGACCAGGACATTGACATTGCGTTTCAAGTTTCGAGCACAAAGGCTGTCACTGCTACTTCGTGCTCCGATTCGTTTTTAAGTGAACGTGAATATCGATCGCACAATTCTCTCTCGCACAATTCTCCGCGTATAATAACGCCCTGAATAATAATGTAAATGTCACAATGCAAATTCCCGACGCCATAAATGCGGCCTGTGCAAACCATAAGTAATTTACAGTGTAGCCGATTAATGCGAGCAGCGTCACCGTGAAACGTTTACTCTCTCGATTGGCGCAGCCCCGCTGACTGTAAATCATCGAAAGGCCCCGTGTCAGCGAGGATTTTCATTTTTGGCAGTTGACGGGAATAGCCGGTCGTTACCCCGCGCTCGGAACAGAAATTAATTCAGTTTTACAACCACTCCTCTTACATTTGTGCTTTCCACCCCTCACCCCACCCCCCCTCCCCGACCAGCGAGTGCCCCGTTTAAACCGCCCGTTTAAATGCACGTCTGCTATCCGGGATGGACAGTGACCGCGACCTGTGCACGCTATAAAAGACGAAAATACTGTTTTAATTAAAGCAAAAAATTATATACACAAGAACTCTAATTGCGCGGGTTTATTATGGTCGGATTTGCAGCTCTGGATATTTCGTTATTATATATAGGTGTGCCCATTACGCAAAAGAGATAAAGAGAGCTGCTCTCGTATTTTCGGTATGCAAACAGGCTAAATCTACTCGTTTCACGTAGAAATCGTGTCGGTGAATTTTTCCATAGTAATTAATCAATTGCCGAACGTGGGTCTCCTTATAGATTTCCTGTTAATTTTGCAATTGAATTCAGCACCGCCGCTTAATTATGTCATCGATTGTCCGCTATTACGTACTTGGGAATATGTAAATGACTTTGCTACAATATGTGCATTCTCGTGGTAACGATTTTAACAGCAACTAAATCGTAGGAACTACATACCAGAGACGCCGAGTATAGAATCGAGTCAGGGATGAAGAAGAAACCGAGGATATCGATTGCAAGAATGTGAACTGTGTCCCGATTAAACTTGATAGTATACGATTATATCATTTATTTTTACATTTCGCCGTGTATAAATAAATCAGTACTTGTACGAGCGACGAATTTAGCTTTTATATCTGTCTATTTTTGTTATTCTTGCTAAATCTTTTAGCAAAGAAGGTCAGTGAAAATTACATATTTAAAATGTTACTATACTACGACTATAACAGATATATTAAATAGAATTACTCTTGAACCTATATTTTGCCTAAATCAAATATAATACGTATATTTCTCATGTATCGAAACTCTTGATAGAAATTTACATCGCGTAGTCTTCCTCTTCGTGTAAAATATTTCCGCACGAATATATCGAAACAATAAATGATGGTGAAA